TAATACCGAAATGCTTCTCCCTTATGAATCAAACATTGCCTGTCTGTCTGTGTGTCTACCTACCTACCTACCTACATACCTATCATCTATATTTTCTTTTGCTTTTTAAGAACCAGAACTGAATAACAATCCTAGGTTATTATTACTATTATTTTGTACTGTGGCTGATTTCAGTGTCTAAGTAGCTTCCTGCCTAAGGACTTGGTTGCCATTTTTGGTACAGTTTTGTAACTTGTGAACTGTTCTGCACACTCTCTCCTTCTCCACGTTTAGACAAGAAGAACTTGTATAGAGGAACCGTTGTCTATGAGAATCAGAGAATCTCCACCTTACCCACTGGCGACATCTCTGGCACAGTGGCGACATAAGGTCCATCTGGGAACTTGGGCTCGTTGTCATTGATATCTTGGATTTTAATGATGAACTCTGACTCTGGCTCCATCGGTCGGCCTGTCCGCCTGTCCAGGGCTTGAGCCCTTAAAGTGTACTGGGCCCTTTCCTCTCGGTCAAGCCTCTGGATGGCGTGGATGTCTCCCGTGGTGTCGTCGATGGTAAACACGATGCCTGCGCCTTCTCCTGAGAGGATGTATTTGATGGATCCATCCCCCCTGTCCATGTCTGAATGAAGCTGGGGGAAAAAAGCACCAACACCTCATTTATGGACACAAACAGGTGTCATAAATAAATTAGTTTTTAGTATGGTCCACATTTATGATCTCTTTTGAAACAGGAAGATTTTTTTTCACTCAAATACTTAAATTGTCTGCCTAAAAAGAACTAATATGCATTGAACATGGTTGCATCAAACAACAAATATAGGTTGATGAATAAATGAAGTTTCTCCACATCACATTCACTATCCTGAGCTTAGTACTATTTTTTAAGTAACTCTCCCTGAGACGTGTACCTGGAAGGTGTGAGTCCCAAGGTGACAACAGGAGCAAGTCTAACAAGGAGAAATCCAGCATTTCCATTTAAGTAAATAAAAAAGGACAGGCCTATATATTTTAAAATTTAAAAAGTGTTCATATAAATTAAGTTTTGGAATTGCGAAAACTTTATGACAATTCAAGTTGGCTAAGCAGCTGATGAAATTGTTAATAAATAGGCTGCAGCCACTGTACTGGAAATGCTCAGTGACTTCTGGGGTCTCTTGAAATTCTCTCAAGTCCATAGTTTCATTCAGTAGGACTACGTTTGCTTATGTTTCAGGTATCAAAATGGAATTTTACTGCTGGTTATTGTTCTTTGCATCACTGTATCTCTCCTTTTGGTAGGCCCAGTTCCTGGCCTCTTAACTGAATCACTCAAATCTGTATGTGGATGGTTGTTATGTTAGGAACATGGTTTTATCTGCCTTTCAACTATGTTTCGTCTCGGATCACTTTGTAATGACTGTCAAAACGACTCCCGGGGTACTTTTTTCATATTAAGCCTAGAAATAAACTCCTCCATCTCTAATTATAGACAGTGTATATAGGTGAACCTTGGAATTTTGTGCTCTCTTATAACAGTCTTGCTCTATGGGGGCAACAAAAAATTAGTCACACTTAGCCACTTCTAACTGTTGCTGGGGTTAGCACTTTGCATAGTTCAGTGATAGAGTCCGTGAGATTTAGTTTATAAAACAGACAACCGGTGTTAGGTTTACGCCACAGAGGCAAATGCATCTGGTCTGAACATGATCCATGTCAGTTATAAATTGAGTGCCCTTGACAAATTATTTAATGTTTATAACTCTCAAGTTCCTCATATTATAAATGTAGAGAACAATATTAATTCTTACTTGGAAGGGTTGTTGGGATCATTAGAAATTAATATATGTAAAACACCTAGCACAGTGTCTTTCCCATAATAGGAGCGCTGTAAATGGGGCCCATTATGTTGATAATGTACGTGCATAGAGAACAGGGCATTAATATGCCCAGCTCTACTCCACTCCCTTCAGATCCCCAGGAGTGCAGCAGAGATGGCAGAAACAACCTGTTGGCCTTTTTGTTAAACGTAGCCCACTGGTAAAAGCTGGAGAAGGCTGCCTGAAGCATTGCTGGGACAGTGTTAGTCTGAGGATTAAATGGCACGGACACTAAGAAGACACCTCAAAGTGTATTCAGAACATCCTCAGACAAGGATGGGTTTGGAGGTTGTGGCCGGCTTTGAGCTGATCTTCAGTTGACTCACGGCCAAATCACACAGGCAGCGATTCTGCTGCCTGGAGGAATTCAGCTGTGTCTTATCTAGAGAAGGAAAATGAGAACAAAATTGACAAAAAAAAAAAAGCTGTGGATTTTTTTTTTCTACTTAAAGAGTTCTATTTGGAATATAAAGTTCTCACATTTCCTTATTCCATACACAGTATTATTTTTTTCACAATCCAAATCTATTTAAGCAGCCAAAAAAGCAGAGGTGCCCAGCTCTTATTATGTGGAATAGAAAGCCGTTTTATTTGGACCTGGGCACAAAGAAATTAAAATCCATTCCATCTGGAACTGTTTTCCCGGGCAGGAGAATGGAATTGAGAGGAGGAGGACAGGGATCTAAAGGTTTTTTATATTAAAAAAGTATATACTTACGTGTGTTTACATATATATGCATACATATAAATATATATATAAGTATATGTAATTTTAAGGCATGTGGCATAGAACTTTCACTTAGAATACATAGGCTAATTTAGGGCATGGCAGATTATCCAGGGGAAAAAGAAAGAATACAAGATGACATTAAAGAAAGTACCCAGGGTTGTTTTGAGGTGTTCTATTTGTCATCTAAAAAGTTTTGTCCTATGAATCCTAAAAAAAGGTAAGCATCCTTGTGATCATCATGGGTCAAGTTTAAGTGCTCTGCCCATGGCAAGTACTTAATAAGTAGCAGAAGGCTAGAGAGCGTTGCTGCTGTGGCAGTGTTTCCATTTCCTCAGGAACAACCTGGCTAGCTGATGTCAATGGAGTCTGGGCTGTATTTTGTTTTTGTCTGTACTGGGAGAAGCATTTGAGGAACTCTCTAGCTTGTGAGTTCCTTGAAGTCAGGAGCCATGTGACTTTGATCTTAGTGTGGGTCCTCATGTGTAGCAAATGCTCAAAAAAATTTTATTGAATGAATGGTGTAGGGTGTAGTATTAGGGTTAAAGCTTTTTAGTGAAATCATGTTACTGTTGTCTTTAAAGAGTTAGCAAGCATCTTTCAGGTAGACTCTGTGTATGTGTGCCTGTGAGCAAGAAAGGGGCAGGGGGAGTGAGAGGACATCCACAGAGAAGCAGGAGGGGCTTCGTATGAACAGAAAGAGCACCAGCTATGAAAAGGGCCAGGATCTGCTTACACGGAACTGATTTCTGAGAAATACATCATTGACCCTTGAACTACGTGGATTTAAACTGCAAGCGTGCACTTACATGTGGATTTTTTCAGTAGCGAATACTACAAACAGTACTACGGGTGACTCTCTGGATGCAGAACCACAGGTACAGAGTAACTGTGAGCATGGAGGAATCGTGGGTATGGACGGAGGGCTGTCTTTGAAGTTATACGTGGATTTCGCATGGTACCAAGGGTCAGTGCCCCAACCCCTACGTTGTTCAAGGGGTAATTGTATCAGTTCAGGGTCCAGTCAGGGAACAAAATCTACATCAGCTATTTTAGCAGAGAGACTTACAGTGAAGGATTGAAAGGGAAAAAGGGAACATTGAGGTATCATTGGAAAGATAGTAACTCCAGGAAACAGCTAGTGCCCCTCTGTCTGGGGGCCTGGGGGAGCAGAGGGCAGAAGTTAGGGCTCTGAGGATCTAGATGTTTGGAGGAGGCTGGGCCGGAGGGAGACCTCTGAGAAGGGAGTCCTTCACCCTGGGGCTGGGGCTTCAGAAGTTTAGAGGAGGTGCCCCCAGCACCCCCTCCCATAGAACTGAGACTCGGACTTCTGTGAAGGGGGTGCCATCCATCAGTGCTGACATTTCTCAGCAGGTGTGATGAGGTTGGTGCTGCAAGTGTGCAAAGAATCCAGAAACTGGCATCAATTGCCTCCTCCCTCTGGTTCTCCTTCTAGTACATTCTACTGTCAGAACCCAACAGGAGCTGGTTGGAAAAGGAGAAATTGTGGTTTGCAGTGTCCCAGCCCCACATCGCAAAGTGGATTATAGAGCTGAGAGACACTAGCTTAGTAACCAGCACCGTAACGTGCATGTAATATTAGGGCTTACCAGCCATAGAATACACATTTGGTTGCAAAAATTGCAAAGAAGAGATATTAACAGCTTTTCTCCACATCACTCAGCAAATTAGCCCTGCAATAAAAGTATGTTTTATGTTTATCCATATTTAATTCAGCTAACATTGACTGAGCACCAGGGCTTCAGAGGAAGGTAAGGAGTTTCTGGACTGGAGTTGGCACACACAGTTATGTACATCTTGGGAAAACAGTTTTGTTGTTGTAGACAGAATAAGATGGGTGGATATCCTGCTTGTCCTAACAACTCTTTGGTCTGTGAGGTTTTCAGTAAAGGAGTAGTGAATGATGGGAAGTGCATGAAGATTATGAAAAATGTTAAGCTCAAGGGTGACTTTCATTCCTTTGGCCATCTTTCATAGGGCCTCGTATAATTCCAGGAATGCAGTTAGTGTTTAAAATTTGTGGTTAGACAGCTTCCGTGTAGTTGTTAACCTCAGCGTGACTTGGGACCACAGATTCGTGCACAAGCACAAGCTCTCTGCATCGCCCTCTTTGCATATGTCAATATAATCTAGCTTTACCTTGACACTGCCTCGTCCCTGGAAGCCCAGTGTGGATTTTATAAGGCCATACCAATTACAGCTGATAATTGTTGCCATACTCCTTTCTGAAATAAGCAAATACTCAGGCCAGCTCTCTAAACAGACATCTTGCAGAGCTCCAGGTGACAAGCTGAATGCCCCTCAGGGAGAGGAAATGTAAATGTAAGGTGGATGGATTCTCTTTCAAAAGAAAGTAAAGAGGAAGAGTGACTGCATAAGTGAATATCTAATTATCTTCTTCATGTGGAGGTGACGTACCCAATCCAGGGTAAAAGCTTACACTGTTTGCTGGAGTGTTGCTTGGACAGGATGACACCCACCCTAACACCATTAACTATTCTGTGTATCTCTCAGGGCTAGATCTGAAGTCATAGCCATATGCAGGGCAACATAAAGGAAAGCCCGTGGCTTTGGTGTGAGATTTCCTGTTAACTTCTGTGTAACTTTGAGCAATGAACATAACCTCCCTGAGTCTTATTCCCTACACTAATTATCTAAAAGTGTACTTACCCCATAGCACTGTTCTGATGATTAAATGATCTGCTCTATGTGAATGTGACTGACACATAGTACTGTGGTAGCCCAGAAGAATATTAGGTACTCTTGTCTTTCTGCATTTTTGTATGTCCAGTTCTGTGCTGGGTACTAAGTGTTAGGGAAATGTAGGGAAAGCCAGGGATGAGATCTCAGTTTCTACCCTTGAGAGAAAGGAAGAGGGCTCTAAATTGTACATACACAAAGCAATTATTGAATGCAAAAGTATTTTGTTAAATTTATTTTAGCAGTAGCTATGTTTCTAGTTGGAAGAAATGTTTTACAGATATCGAGTTGCTAGAAATCTTCAGAATTCTGAATAGATGGAAGATGTTTTCATGATGGAAATGCCTTTAAGCTGGATCCCTAGGAAATTTGAATGTGATTGAACAGAGAGGAGGTGACAGTGTGTCCTGGGCATGGTGGTAGCAAGGGCACTGATCTGGGGTAGGGACAAATGTGGTATGTTGTATCAGGGCCATAAGGAGACCCAGCTTGACTGAGATGAGGGCAAGATTTGAGAAATCCTAGGGGAGGGTTGGATAAAGGAGGAGGACTCATTTTCTTTCTGGAAGTCCTTCAACTATATGCTAAGAGCTCTGATAAGCACTGGAGAACTGCAGTGCTTTCTTAATCAAAGGAGTGACATGATGGAAAGGGTACTTCAAGGAGATAAATGTCCTGAGTCCCAGGGGGAGAGCTGGGAAGATTCTCCCTACGGTGCCTGCTTGGTTAATCTAATCATGAAGAACAGAAGGACCACAGTAGTTACAGCCTGGAGAGCATGAGGTGAATCTGAGAAACTGGCAAAGAGATATTGACAGGATGTAGAGACTGGTTGTGCATGAAGGAAGAAGAGAAGGAAAAGTAGAAGTCACAGAAGAGTCATAGGTTTTGAGGCCGAGAGATTTGCAGGTGCATTAGGTATGCATTACTGAGCTGCTGAATTCCCATAGTGAACTCCCTGTACTATCGCTGCCACTACTGCTACAGGGTAACGATGATTAAGATCTTACTCTGGACCACGTGCTGTGCTAAAGCACTTTACATGTGTTAGCTTACTTAATCCTTACTCCACCATGAGGTAGTCATTTACTAAATATCTTTTTGAGCACTGTCTATGTGACAGGTGCTGTGTTGGGCCTTGTAGATAAAATGAGAGCAACGTCCTTGTCCTCATTGAACTCACGGTCTAGTCTAGGGCTTCAGACAATACACAAACAAATATATTTGTATATAAGTAAACAAATAAATTAGATAATCTAGGTTGTGACTAGAGCTGTGAAAAAAAAGTAATGGTAGTGTGAGAGAATAACAGAGGGGCGTATGGTCAAGGAAGACTTAGATTCAAAGTGAGTCCTAAAGGATGAAGAGGAGCCAACCATGAGAGAAGCCGGGAAAGAGCATCTCATGATGGGGGAGCAATAAGGCAAAGCTTGGCAAGTTGTAGGAGCTGACAGAAGGCCGTGTCCCTGGAGCATGAGAGCGAGGGCAAGAAAGAGTAGCATGCGACGTGGCGGGAGTCCAGGAGGAGGATCGAGTCAGAGAGGAATGGCCTTGTAAGTGGTGGAGAAGAATCTGGATGATTCAAAGGACAATGGGAAGACATCAAAGATGTTAGCCGAGTGATATGATCTGACTCACATTTAAAAAGATCATGTGTGGAAAATGGGTTGGAAGGAAGGGTGGGTAGACGTGTTGAGATTGATTGGGAGTCTAGGTATTTGCACAGGTGAGAGAGAACAGTGGAAGTGGAGATGAGAGGAATGAAGGATTCGGGATTTCTTTTGCCATAGGACTAGCAGAGTTTGCGGGTGGAGAGAATGTAGTGGGAGTAAGAGAAAGGGAAGAATGATCACCAGGTCTCTGGTTTTAGGAACTGGGCGATAGCAATGCTGACTAACATTGGGAAGACCTAGGGCAGATGTGGTTTGGAAGAGAAAAGGAGAATTCTTTGCTGGATATGCCACATTTGGGAGACCTCTGAGTCATAAATGTGGAGTGGTAGGGTTTGTAAGTCTGAAGTTCAGACAAATGATCTGAGCCAGAGATGGAGGTTTTGGATTCGTTGATTTAGGGGTGGGGTTTAAAACTGGAGGGATGGCAAATCTATCCTTACAAGACCACCAAATGGTTGGGTCAGGGTGAGAGAGAGGACTGGCAAAGAGGCTGAGAAGGAAGGAGGAAAAATGGAATTATGAAGGTCATGAAGCTGAGAGAAGAATGTGAGTCAAGAAGAGGGGACTGGGCAGTGTCCAAAGGCACTGTCCATAAAGTGAAACCATCAGATTTGGTGGTGGAGAGGTCCTTAGGACTGCTGAAAACACAACTTCAAGGCAGAGTGGGGACAACACAGTACCAAGTGGCCAGATAACTGGGTTGAGAAGTGGGTGGGAGTTGAGAAAAGAGCTTATGTGGACAACTCTTGAGAAGTTGTGGTTCTCTTATCACCCTCATTAGACATTTGAGAAAACAGGCAAACAGGGCTTAGTGACCTGTCCGAAGTCACTCTGGAAGCAGTTGGCAGAGCTGGGTTTTGAACCCACATGTATTTGACTCTGAAACCCACACTTAGCCTCTGTGCTAAACAAGTATTTAAGTTATTTGAATGAATTATTTATTTTCTAATTAGTTCCTTGTTTCCCATTTTCTGTCACTTCGTTGCTTTCACAAAATGGTGTGTGATTAACATTGAAATAAAGTAAACACAGGAGAAAGCCTGGATTAAAAATGAAATGATAGATAAATCAAGGGAATTAGAGTATAAAGTTTATAAATATATTCATTGATCGTCTCCAGCTATCCTAAAGCGCATGCTAGGATCTTCTGAAATGAATGTTTTATTCTTTTTTTTTTTCATTAAATTTAAGCCTCAGGCAATACCTGTGGAAATGCTTTGGAAAAAAAAAAAAAAGCGAAAAACCTCTACTCCTCCCTTTGCGTCCCTCAGTTTCTTTCTTCCCTGTCCTGTTTTTCCAGAGGCTGCTGCTGCCCCTGCAGGGACTTGAATGATTCTTGCAGGGTCCATCGTTTTTCCTCCAGAAAATCCAATTCCTAGTTTTTCCCACTCAGAACAGAGGCAGGAACAAGGAGAGAAATCTTTCCTTTCTGACCGGTATCTGACACAGCAAAAATTAAATTTCAACTAACTGTCAAGTAACATACTACTAGTTAAAATTGTTCTCAGGTCTCAGACTACGTGAGCTGTCATATCCAATTCATATTCGTATTTGATCTCAATATTCGATACCCTGATGATTTATCTCTCTTTGGCAGTTCTTACCTTGCCGACATACAAAGGGTCGGTTCCCGTATACTCTTCCAGAACAAAAAACTGGTTCCAAACCCAGCTCCTCTTTGTCCGCGAGTGTGACTGTGGCTTGTCTGACAGGAGCACTTCGATTTCGCCTGGCGGTGTTGGTGTTCCTGAGAGAACGGTGGTCGTAAGGTCCATCAATCCCCAGAAGTATAAGGACATGCCGAGTCCAAGCCAGCTCTTTGCATTGCTCATTCTACCAGAAGTCCACATGGGATTGCCAGGTTTTCAGAAAGTAAAGTCCAGGATGATAAAGCCACTGAACTTGAGTATTTTCCAAATAAAAAAATAGTAGTTTATTGAACACTGATGCTCCCCAAATGAGGTCCTGATTGAAGTCAATCTGCTTGAAGTTGACTTCCTGTCAAGTTAAGGAAAACACAATGTGATGATGTCAGATTCTTTCCTTTGGGCTTGTGGCAAGTTTTTAAGAAAAATACCAGTAAATATTCAGTTTTCTACTCAACAAATTAAAGAGTCATAACATGTTACTGCTTTAGAAGTGCTTGAGTAATAAATAATATTTTGATAAAAAGAAGACAACTTATCTTGGCATAATCAATCCCAAACCTTTAAATATGGATTTCAGAAGTAATAAACTAGTGAATAAATTTCTTCTCATTGGTAGCTGGAGGGTTATGCTGTATTATTGATTGGCTTGAATTAATAGCGTGCTCTTTGAAATATTTATGATCCGACAGCCTCTCAAACTCTTAAAAATAGCATTCATTTCCAAAATTTACAGCTAATAACTAATATTTTCATTAGCCCAACTGCTTCTCTTTGCTTATTAGAAAATCAAAATGAAAATCTGACTACTTTTTTTGCTACCCACAATTATCTTCTGCCTATGCCATGTTATTGATATTAGGAATCTTGGACTTTGTTTATAAGCACCCATGGATCACTTCTGACTTTAATCATTCTCTGGGCTCATGGTGGATTCAAGTTTCACACTCTACTGCTTCAGCTCTGAAGCACTGTTAGGGGCTGCTAATGTGACCTTTCTAGGATTTGAAAGGTCAGTTAATCATTACATCAGTCACAGTAGATTTCAAAGTGCTGTTAGTTACGTGCTACTGTGGGCACGCTAAGGGAGACTAGCCAACAATTTTTTTTTTCAATCTGAAAGACTCATTTAGGCAAAGGGATGTTGACTTCTACCCTGATGTTTTATCAGTCAAATTTCCTTTTCTGCTATCAGGTCAGATTAGCTGGTCACCTCACTCCTGGACTACGACCTCATCAACCTTTTCTTCCTTTACTTTGGCTGGGTTTAATGAGGTGGCATAGCACTCAAGCCACTCTGTCAAAATGACTAAAATGTATTCTGTGGGCTTCATATTTTCACTGTTAATGTGAAGAACTGCTATCACCTTCTGAGAACAGATGTGTTTATTTGGGGATTTCAGACCTATTCAGCTAAGCAGTGCTCCATTTCTACAAATGGTTTAGAATAAATGCATTGATGCTAACTCGATTACCACCTTCCACCTGTCCTCATCAGAACTCATTTTAGCTTCCTCTCAAATACTCACTATTGAAATGAACAAAAGAGTTTAAAAGATACCTTATAATCATCTCATACAATATGCCATTTCATTTTTGTATTAGAAATCACTGAAGTGAGAGCTGATGAAGAGGCAAGAGCTGGGGGACACTATAGAATTTCTGTGACAGAATGGGAGGCTGTGCCTCTTACCAGTTCTAGCAGTAAAGACAGGTTGATTGTCAAGTAAAAAGCAAGCCGAGTGTGCCTTATTTAGGGCGGCTTGTTTGTTAATAAAGAACAATGGTGTGCTTAGAAGGTGGGTTAGCAGGTATTAGCAGTTCCCTTTCCCTTTAGGCTGGTAGACAGAAACCCAGCTCATGTTCCTCTGATCCCTTCTAAGGGGAAACATTTTGGAAGGAGGAAATTTAACCCAGGAGATGAATTAATGAAAAAGATTGGTGAGAAATAGCAATGCTGTTTTAGGGACCTCGAAGATGAACCAAAGGGCATTACCAAAAAAAAAAAAAAAAGCTCCTGCCAGAATGAATACTGGGATTGGGATTGGTAACCACCATGGGAATAGCTCATATGTTGTGAGACACAGACCTGTCTGTAATTTCCCCAAAGAACACTAAACTAAGGGTCGGACACTTTGGCTCCTGGTTCCATCTTCATTATGTCTGACTTGTTCACTTCTATGAACTTTCGTTTCTCATCTGTTAAGTGCTGGGCGGTGGTTCTCCCACCTCCCTCACAGGACGACCATGAGGGCCTGTTGGGATGCTGTAGGTGAAAGTATTCTGTAAATCACTAAGGTGTCAACTGACATTTGAACAGCAACATAAGGAGAAATTACCTGGGTCGTGTATGAAGTGGGTGAACTGAGCCTTGAACGTATCTTGTGAGCACTTTTTGGGCCAAAATTCTGAAAGGGCCTAATGTATATATGTATTATTTTACAGCTCTGTGCATCTGTGATAAGTACTATTGGGTGATATATTCTGGCCCAGCCTAATTCTGTAATAACCAGACACTGTTTTTTTGTTTATTTGTTTGTTTGTTTTGATGAGGAAACTTAATGAAGGACTTGCTATTGAGAGCTCAGTGGAATAGAGGAAATTCTCTTTTGGGGTTGCATTTATCAAAGGTAGAGCTCAAAATATATACTCTATTTAATGTATTTCCTTCAGTATGTGTGTTTCATATGTAGACATTTTGCCTAAGCATTATTTTCCATGGTTTTGATTATTTTCTGTGGCTACTTTTACATCTTGCTTTGAGATTCTAAGTGAGCAGCTGCCTCATGTGTGTATGTGTGTGTGTGTGTGTGTGTGTGTGTGTGGTGGTGGCAGGTGGGTGCAGATATCCTCTGTCCGGCTTCCATTGGCTAAATTTTCAGATCAGCATGAGATTTGAGGAAATTTCAAGGGATTTTAAGACTGTCTCTTATATTCTCCTATCTCTTACAAACTAGACATGCATTCTTGCCAATTAAACCTCCCCATCTTTACTGATAAGTGTGATCTGAAGAGCTCAAGAAAAAGAAGGTGTTCTGTGGAGTCTTTGTGATGAATATTTTGTAGGCCATCTGGTTGCCTCAGCTTTCATGTCTCTTGCCCACCTTGGCTTCCTGCACATTAGCACAAAGCCCTCACATTTTTCCCTTTCACGGGACACGAACAACATGTCTTTAGGATGTGTAGGACCTGTGGAGCCCTTGGGGACACTGTCACAGCTCTAGTGGCCCATGTGCCCCATCACGTTCCCCCCGACACACCTAAAATTGCAAACCCACAGTGCCTGTAAACTCTTTCTGTGGTAAATAACTTGATGGCTACAGTTGATTGAAATGCACTTTATTCTTGCTTTCGCAGGGCAGAATGGATGAAAAATACTCCCTGCCTAACTTTTCAGAAAGTAAAATCTAAGTTATCCAATAGTTACATTATTCTTTTCACAATTAGAGCTGTTTATACAAGTGAGGGGAAAAATCAGTTCTGTCAGACATACTAACCAGTTTGCAATGATTATAAATAAAATAGTTCTCCTATTCAAGCTTTTTTTCCTACAGGATAAGAATAGCAATGATGTGTTTGAAGGTAGGCTAATTGCTGTTGTCCTGATAAAGGAAGAGACTAATGTATGTATATATGTATATATAGACCCGCTTTGGAAGACCACATATGCCGCAAGAAGGCTACATTAGTGGAAATTGACTTCTGTGTTGAATGAGTCTTTTAAAAGTTTTTTTCACCCCATCCTGCCTGAAGAAACAGCTTGTTAATGAACACAGTAGGAAGAAATTAAAGCTGTACATAAAAGTGTGCTCTCAGTGAATTGTTTATTTCGTTACTTAAATTTGTTGTGATATTTAAAATGCAGGGGGAAGGGATGGTTACTGCTTTCTCCTTGAAATGAACTGGGCTTTTATGGTCTCTCTCTGATTTCTTTCTTCATTATTCCAGTTTTCCTGAGCTTTTGATGGCTAATAGAAGGACTACTCAGTAAAGCTCAGATGATGTCTCTACAGAAACAGAAAGTCAGTCGCCTCTGCTAGTGACTCCCCCTGAGAACCAGGGGGTGTTGTAACTTTGTGATGTGGCCTCATGCCTTTACGGAAGAAAATACAGGCAGTGGTGCTGTGGTATTAGGCAGCTAAACTTCTTAAGCTATTACTTTTACTTATAAAAAGAGCCTAAAAATGTCCTTAAAAAGAAAAAAAAAACTTTGTGAAGACCCTAGATATCACAGTGAAATATGACAGTGTACTGTAAGGTGCATCAACATTAAATCAGAATACAACTCAGTGTCACAACAGCATCTCACCTCCCAGTCAAGCGTCTCTCTTGAGAAATATGAACAAACCTATTTTACTTAGGAGTCAGAATCCTTCAGTTTGGAGTACAGAATCCATAGAGAACAGGTGATGACATTTATAAATTGGATTGAAAAATTCACATGATGATGGTATCTTTGGAATATCCACAATTCACAGACAAGAAGATTCCCATTGGGAATCCCATAAAGAAAATATGTTCAGTGCTTCTGTAAAAAAAAAAACTTTCAACATTCCTGGATCTGTATGTGTACGCCTGTGCTGCCAACCAAAGTCCACCACTGGGGATGTGTTTTGGAAGTGGTGTACAGTATGGTTTTCTCTCCGGAAGGTGAGGCAGTTCTCTCACCGGAAGTCTTTGATTTGCTACAGATGTTCCAGCTCAGTTTTCTCCTGGGCAGTCATTAAGTGAGTAGGAGCTCCAGTCTTCTTTTGTGGCTATCAACTCACCAGCCTATCTGAAGCTACCCATCTAAGGAGGCGACCAACTCCATGGAACCAGAAGAGGTTGTCCAGGTACTAACTAGGTTTTCTGGATTTGAGCTGTGCTCTGTCTTCCACTCCCCTACTCCACACCTTACCTGCCTCATAACACTGCCTCTGACCCCAAAGTTAACATTTCTGAAATGGGATATATATGAAAATCAGTGTGTACATTTCATGTGATCACATTTCCTCTCCCATCCCTCAAAGAAGCGGTTAATAAATTGATGGTCTGTCTAGAGTTGAAGAATTATGGTATTACTTTTTTTTTAAATTGAACAGAAGAATACCTAACTTCCTTGGAGATTTCTTAGAAAAGGTGGTCATCATTCTTGCTTATTCTAATTTTGATTATTTATTTTTTTAATGAATTCCTACTTTCCTAAGTTCCTCAAAAACTATGGAAATTCGGAGCCAGGATTGAGAGTTTCAGCTGTTACAGTGTTCAGTCAAGCTGTGACTAGTCTCTGAAATCCTCGCTTTGTCACCACTTGTTCTTTTTGCTCTTCTTCCCACAACCAAACTAGTTGAGGAGAGCGAGTGCTGTTTT